GATGATCCTGCTTGATTTCTTCTCTTCTTTCTCCGTGTCTTTCTTCGTGAGGCTTGTGATGCATAGTATGTATAAGACGTTTGATCGTCATAAGCGGCATAATTCCAACTGGAGTCAGTATAATAACTGTCCTCATACCATGAATCCCAGCTCGGTGCGGTGGAACTCTCATAGGCCTGTGGAGATCCAGTTTGGTCTCCTTGTAAGGAGGCAGACTTAGCTGTATCCTTACCTTTGCCTTTTGATTTTGTACCCTTGAAGGAGCTTCCTTTATCTCCTTTGTCCTTTCCTTTTCCTTTGCCTTTTCCACCTTTTCCTTTTTCTTTTCCTTTACCTTTACCGAAATAGCTGGAATCAGTTGGATCATGTTCTGCCTGGTTGGCTCTCCCTTTTCCGCGGTATGACCTAAAACGGCCACGTCCTTTTCGCTTGCCACCCTTTGCTCTTCCCGGTGATCCGGGACGCATTCTTGGTCTTCTTCCCTTTTTGAATCTCCTTGCAACGAAGGCCTCATGGTCGTCAACTGTCCAGAAGACAGCTTCTTCATCCTCGGCGGCAAGAAAGCCTTCCTCAAGGGTGTCTTCGTCTTGAAGCCAGAATCCATCGACTCCGTCGTATTCACCCTGATCGAGGATGAGGAAGTTTCGACCTCCGCGTTTGCGGCGTTGATCTCTCCTTCCATGGCGGTCCTTCTTGTGAGAAGTGTGCCGAATATTGGGATCCTGCAGACCAGTTCTGGTCGTTGAGAACTGATCGAACATGGTCTGCCGTACTATAGGGTACGTGTAGGTCTCAATTCGGTAACCTTGGTTGGTCAATGCTGTTACCAACCTCTCACGTTGCATCTCATTTAGGTCGGACTGCACTAGGAAGAGGAGAGCTAGGAGATTATCATTTAGAGGAAACGCTCTTCGATGATTATCAAGGCGTTCCTTGTTCCATGTTTCGAAGAAACGTGCGGCGTATGTGTCTCTCTCGGTTGCATCCTGTAGGCGCAAGAAGGTTTGATCTGCCTGCACAGCCTGCATGAAATCTGGATGGGCATCTTCCAGAGCTATCTCTGGTAAGAGATCCATCCATGAGTTTCTCACGCGCTGTAGCACGATCTCAAACTTGGCAATCCAAGTCACAAAGTCTTGGTTGCCCTTCCATGCCTTGAATAGGCCGAGGAAACGCCACAGGAAAACGTACTGTTCTCCTTTCACGAAAAATGGACGCATCTTCTTCTTGAAGTAATCTACTCCATCTGGGGCTGCAAGCCTTTCTCGGTTCAGTGATTCCTTTTGTACTGCGGCCAATCCGGAGAGCCTCGTCTTGAGAGACGGACCTCTTTTGGTGTCATCCAGCGTTGTTATGTCGCACCAGTCGTCAATCAACTGTTCATACTCAAACCACGAGGTGGTGCCATCATAGGCAGGCGCGATCTTGGGCGTTATGCCTAATGATGCAAGCATGCGGTCAGATGTTGCATATGACTGTGCGACATAAGTAGCTGGACCTTGGGAGGTCTCTTCGTTCTCATATCCCCCGGAGGATTGGGAACTGCCGTCGGCTTCGCTATGCGAGCTCGACATTGTGCTGCCTCTTATCCGCTTGGTTAAGCGTTCGGCGAGGCCGACCGCTGTAGCGGACTTTGTGAGGCGGGCGGCCCTTTCCGGGCTCCGCTACCAGAAAACTGTGCCGATACACCCCCAAGGGATACTCCTTGTGAGGAGGTGTATGACCAGTTATTCCCTAAGGATCAAAGGGCAGCGCCCTGCACACGGACAGTAGTTGTTTTGTCTTGCTACGCAAGGAGAGCTTGTCTTGTCTCAATATGGTAAAACCACTGTGAGCCAATGGGCAGCGGAATGTATATGTATGAGCATGCAGCCATTGCTGTAGGTACCTGTTAGAGCTACCCCTTTAGAGGTTTATGGTTTCACCCCCCCCCCCTATCATGAGGTCCCCCCCTCCCCCCCCCTCCTCAAGGTCCCTTGGTTTTGTTTGTGTCTGACGTTCGGCGACTGAAGTGCGGTCTTCTCTCCAGAGTTACCTCTAGTTGTCGTTCGCACATTACTTTCTCAAGAGTTAAATGAACGAGCAACGCCTGCACCCTTCACCGGCCCAAACTTTCCCTCCGCTACTGTCGTGCACATCGCTTTGCAGAGCTCAGCACCGGACCTCGTGCTTCTAGCTTTCGTGACCAGCTCTCAAGTTGTGCTATGATGTAATGACCTGAGATTCAATGTCGGGTAAGATCATACCACGCCGTTACTGGATTTGCGATTACTTTGATCAGCAGGCCAGGTAAGACCAAGCTTTAGCGGCAAGGCAGAGAGCATGCTTGTCGGGCCTCAAAGCTCCAGCCTAGCTTGCGGTTACATCCTGAACTTGCTTGGCTGCTGTGAGTCGGGAGAAGTCAACATATCGGAGGCAATCTGGCTCAAGCTGTTGGTCACCACGATGACTATTCCTGGAGCCGTTATGGTCGCCTTGCGGCGGTGCTTTGTGCTCCTGCTTGTCTTGTCGGAGTTCTGCATCGCGACGCCCACAAGTGGCGCTGCAGTAGCGGTTTCAGCGAACGGCGGTACAACGCTGCTTGCTGTGCGCCGCAGCATGACAAGAGCCCTGCCAGCTGAGCGGACAAAGGTATGGGAAGCGGTAAGCAGCACACCTGGCAGCCACGCTTGCCGTGGCGACTCTCGTACAGACAACAGCAAGAGCTACTACGAGGTAACTGTTGGGATCGGCAGCCTGGAGGCCTGCCAAAGCCTCTGTGAGGAACAGTCTGACTGCAAAGGCATCGAGTACAACCCAAGTGGCCGCTGCGAAGTGTGGATGCGAAGCGAAGGCATAGCCGCTACTTCCACACCACCTGCAGCCTGGGGCGAGTTTCAGTGCCTCCGTTTCGGCTGGCCGGTCAGCATGTTGTCTCCAGTGGAAGGTGGCGAGGACCGTGCATGCCGTGGTGAGTCTGCCACAGACAACTCCGCAGATTACTATGTTCTGCACGATGTGCAGCACTTGGCGGGCTGCAAGGCTCTTTGTGCAGCTGCTCCCGTTTGCTACGGACTGGAGTACGGCGGAGGACGCCGCTGTGAAATCTGGACACGCCCCATCATGGCGACTGCCGTGGTCTCTCGCTCCCTTTGCTTGCGCTTTGAGTTGCAGGCGAAAGAGCCCACGGTGATGGCAAGCTACCATCCGCTCTCCGGGGAGTGCGTTGATGATAGCATTGCTGGAGTGGTGGCGCTGGAGGAGTCTGGCGAGGTGCTGACATGTGGCAGCTTCCCCGCGGCGACTCCCCACCATGCAGTTGCTTGGCTGGACATTCAAAGCGGCACCCTTCGGCGCGCCATTGAGTTGTCCGCGGCACCGAGCGCATGTCAAGTCCTTGAAAGTGGGTACGTTTTGGTGGGTAGCAGCATGGGCTTGCAATGCTTCAGTGCATCAGGCGTGAAAGTCTGGGAGTTAACAGCCCTGCAGCATGTGAAGGGGCTGTCACCAGCTCGTGGTGACCGTGTGGCTGCATTGACCGAGAATGGCACGGTGGCAGTCGTCACAGACAACGGCTCTCTTTTAGCACATCGCCGCTTTGGATATGATGCCTTAACGTCAGTGGAGCTCTTCAGCGATGGCCGTGTCGTTGTTGGGGCCTTCACCAACAACTGGGCAAGCAACCCGGTGCAGATTGCACGTGTGGAGATCTACAGCAAAGACCTGCAGACACGCTTGACTCAGACTTGGGGACAATTCACTGCTGCAGAATTGGATGCTGCACGAAACATGGCAGATACCCGGATCTACAACCTGGCCATCTCAAAGGACGAAGTTTATGTTTACGCTGCTGGAGAGTCGGCGGGTGGAAATACCATCTTCCGCTACAACGGACGTGATCTTGTGACGAAGACTGCGCGTGACACAGGAACTCCCATGTGGATGGCGAAGTCGGCTGCCCACATTGGTTACATTGCACGCATTCGGAGCAGTGATGGCGAGGTGGAGTCCGGTACCTTCGTAGCACCAATTCTGCAGTCCAAGAATCGCTTGAATACTTTTCGCACCCGCGATGGTGGCCTGGTACATGACGCTCGGAATGCAGCTGTCTATCTCACCGGCACCTCCGCCTGCTGCCTTGCGGACAGGGAAACCATGACCTTTGCCGGACAGATTGTGGGTGGTTATGCTGGCAGCGATGCCAGCCTGGTCGTGTTTTCTGAAGCTCTCGACAAGCGTCTGTTGTGGACAACCTTCGGTGCCGACAGCAACAAGGGCAAGCCGGCGACACTAACGCTCAGCGGCAGGCAGCTAGCAATTGGAGTTGTCATGAATGGTGGCACGGCTATCACTACTGAGATGTCTGCACAAAGGACGCCCCCGGATTCGGAGCCTTGTGGAACGAGCACAAAACCAAACAAGGATGCTTGGGTAGGGGTCGTGCCCACAGGTCACCTGCTGCCCACATCTTAAGCAGCACGGAAGACCACCTTGCAAGTCTCCTGGACTTTGTAATTCAACCGACCCGCCCACGTGACTTCCGCATGTTACGGACGCTGAGTACAGTCTTTCCCCGGTGCACGGCCTGTCTTCGCGACAATCGCGAAATACCCTCTGTTGAAAGACTTCTGTGCGTGCCGTGCTCTAGTCTCCAGTTGGAGATGGCTTAAAATAGGGTCTTATACTTCGGAGATCCGCAACAGATGGGAGCTGATCCAGAAAGGCTGTGTGCCGGGGCATGTCCGCTTGCGGCACCTGGCTTGCGATGCAAAATCAATTGCTGGCACCTTTTGATGACCTCGCAGGGCGGTCTATCTCTGGTTCTTGTCTGTCGGTAGGACTGGGGTTGGAAGTTTTACCAAGCACTTCAGGGAGGGTATATAGGCCCAGACATGGGCTGGAAAGGCCATGCATTCCATCCATGCACCATAAACATACACTGCATGCGCCCTCGCCTTTGGCGCACGTCGGCATAGATCAGGGGTTGAGCACTAGGCTCTCTTCTCCAAGCCGGTGCTGAGGCATCGATATGCGGAGATCCCCGGAGGCCGGTCAAAGCTTCTCTGAAAGTCGACCACATCATCTCTAAAGGCTCTAGCGGCCGCTGCTGGGCAGGTGTTGACATCCTGATGAGCCACATGGCGCAGGGAGCCCAGCAACTTGCAGGCTTCGAAGACCCGACCCGTGCCTGAACAGCTGACAAGGCAGCCTGCTCGAGAGGGCATCCAAAAATTCGCACAGATGTTCGATTCAATTCCCATCGGGTGCTGCAGGATGCCACAGAAGCTTTGCACCGGCCGTTGCGGGGTTTCAAGTTGGAGGAATCGGAGTTGGAATCCGAGAAGCGCTGGGGAACTGGTTTCTTCTTGAGAGCTCTTGAGGCCCTGGGACATCTTCGACCAGACTCTCTATGGCCAGTGGGGTTCTAGCAAGGCTGCCTTGTGCCCGTATTCAGTCAAGACATGCAGTGTCCAAAGCTGTCTTTGTGGGTGTGCGTATGTCACGCGATATAACTCGGTCGGGCTGTTTCTCAAGGAGATCATGCGCGTAGAGGCAGCTCGTGCTACGCTGAACTGGCCTCAAAGCCACGTCAGCTCATGTACAATCATCTGCGCTGCGCCAGTGCCGTGCTAGTTTGCGGAGGAGGAAGAGCCTCAGTGTATTTGGAGAACTTAGAAATTGTCATGAGCTCCATCTCATCCATATATCCCACGGCCACGGGACCGAATCCTTGCCAAGTCATCCACGAAACCAGTTGGTTGCGGCTCAGGTTGAAGACCCTAGAGCCGCAGGAATCTAGAGCTGCACGAATGTTTGGTCGTTCATTGAGCGGACAGGACTAAGACTCATCCATGCAGCTTTTCGAGAGATTCGCTTCGGGTTCTTCCACGTGGCGCTTGTAGGATTTGCGCTCCCACCTGGAAGCCATTCGACCGAAGGCTTCGTGAAATGGGAAGGTTGGGAGTCACTTCCAAGCTGGGTTGAAGGGTTACGCCGACTGTGCTGGAACATTTCAAGAGCATGCCGGCGGGTTTCGCAGCCGTCGTCTGCAGTCAGTAGACGTTTGTAGATGCAAGAAGGTGCATCTGTTTGGCCACATCCACGAGAACAGCGGGGTCCTCAGCAGTACCGGCAGAAGCGTGGAAACTGGCTCGAAGCGATAGGACACGACTGAACCTACAATCGGTAGCTGGACGTATTCCAAAACGCATGATGCAAACTGACAGGAGGTGCATGGCAGCGCTGGAGCCCGTCCAAGGCCAGGCCTTTCTAGATTCTAGATATGATGCAGCACCTATCTAAATAAACACACGCTCGCAGCTGGTAGGTCACGGCACGATTGAAGGCCACGCAACTATTGAAACTTGAAGACCGCAAAGATGGGTTACTTGCCCTTGGCACGGCAGTTTGATTGTCCGATTCGGTTTGAAGTAGACTCCAAGGTAGCCTAGCATGACGACGTGGAAGGCAGTCTGAAACGATGTCCTGCATATGTTTACAGAGACGACAGCGAAAACGGCTGTGTAAAGAAGCATTGACAAAATCAAGCCACACCGCCCTACCGCTATTCAGCATGATGTCAGAACTGGGCGCAGACCCTCGACTGACATCGTGATGCCTCGAAGCTTCTCCCAAGATAGGCGTACATGGGCGGCGTGGAGTATGCGAGGGGCTCAGCAGCGCATAGGGGTGTGGGTCAACATGAACACAGAAGGTTATGCCATGTTTACCAGTTGCCAGACAAGCTAACGAAGGAAGCGGGACTTGCAAGCCACCGCCACCGCTGCCCCACAAAGTCCTCCATTGTATGTCATTCCGGAGTCGTCCATCCCAATCCAATCGAAAAGTGCATGCTCCGTGTCTCAGTTGTAGCTCAGAGATATGTGCGACCACCAACTGACTGTGACCCAACCGAATATGGTTTTCCTGGAAGCCAAACCGTTTCAAAGTCGCTGTCAAGCGCCATCGTGCGTGCTCCCTCGTTTCATGTCTTTAGACACTGCAGGATTCGTTGCATGTGACAAGGGTAGAGGCTAGCCTAGCAGTGACGTTACATCCTATCTTTCTTGTCCTTGAACCGTTGTCCCACTAGCCTGTAAATGACCGATCTTTTCGAGCTGAACCCCTTGCGGATGAGAGGAGCCGTTGCCCGGCAAGAAGTTTTGCCCGCGCCCCCCGCCAAATGCGACGTATCCTTCGGAGCCTCGGCAGGAAGGTTTTTTTGGGCATCTAACAACAGTTCACTGGGCTAAATAATTCTAAAGGTGGCGATCTCATAGTATTTTCGGGTGTAGGGTCATCATGGCAGAAAGGCCGCCATGAATAACGCCCAGTTCTTTTTGAAAACAGCACCCTGCACTCCAGCCAAGTAAGGACATCGGCATTGTTGTTATCCCCGTTTTCAAACGCCCAGACGACCGCGCACACTTACTTTGCAACAATGCATTTGCCTGTACTACAAACATGTACATTCACCTGTGGTCATAGCGAGAGAATGAGATAGATTGCAGCATAGACACACACTCAGACAGATGGGTCATGATGGATGGAGGGAAGGAGGGATGGATGGACAGACAGACAGACAGAGACAAACAGACAGACAGAGACAGACAGACAGACAGACAGACAGACAGACAGACAGACAGACAGACAGATGCACACAGACATGCATGCAAGCATGCAGCCCCAAGCCATCTTCTGTATCCTATGGATATAGAACTTGCTAGTCCTGCATGATTGCCATGATTGTGCAAGAGATTTCCCAGGACTTGATTCTGAACAACGCCCAGATGAACAACCAGGAGCTTCGCAGAAGTGCTCGACGCTACTTAGACAGATCTGTTCTTAAGTGGAGATCGTAGGTCGCAGCAACGCCTTGAAATAGATGCCTTCCAGAACTAGCTCTGCCCTTCTGCCCTTCGTGCAGTTCTTGGATCAGACGTACACCCATTCCTGGGGCCCTGTTGAAATCAAGGCGCCGGAGCCTCGGCCTGCCTCGGTTTCTTGGGCACAGCCCTGGCCAAGAAAGCTGCGGATTTCCGAAGCGGTGAAACTGTTTGGCTCCTGATGACTCGTGGACATTTAAATGGTTGTGTGAGACGTCTGGATGGCTTGAGTTGACCTTCTATGGGACGGTGCATTCGGTCCTGGAACAGTTTATTCCACGTCTTCTCATGCTACACGGGGACTTATTCGTGGTGCAACTGCTATGTCCAGCTACTGTCGTCGCACTACATGGTTCACTTATCCAATCGGATATACACGTACACAACTTACAACGTCTACCTCAACTCAGCTTGGAGGGCATCCGGGATGATTGGGCACTACATGTGACATCCTTGTAGTTTGGTAATTCCGATTTTCTCATTGCATTTCATTTTAGATAAGCGTGCATGGCGAAATCGCTATGTTCCGCGTCGCGGCTGACAGGCAACTGAGTCCGTGTGAGAGAGAGAGAGAGAGAGAGAGAGAGAGAGAGAGAGAGAGAGAGAGAGAGAGGCACCGGGCACCATACCGGGCCATGCCGGGCCTGGCCTGATTGAAGATCTCGCAGGGCAGGGCAGCAAACCTTGGTTCCTGAGTTGCCAGAAGAAGCGTTGGCCCCAATTGTGCCCACGAAATGATCCAGCGAGATACCAAAGCGGAGACTTGCAAAGGCTAAGCACGAACAGACGCGGGCCCAGGCCTGGCAAGCTCATCACGGCTAAATGGAGTGGAGGGCAGTGGCATTTCTCCGCCGCTACTTGGATTTGCAGCTCAAGAGCCCTTGTGGTCAAGGTGGGTCTGTCGCGAGAGTATTTGTCCCAAAGGACCCCCAGCATGCACGGGCGCAGACAGCACTCGAAAGAATCCATAGGCGAACGTTCGTTGATTAACCGCGGTCTTTTGTGGCGTGGTCCGCTGAGGAGCGCTGCGATTCGGCAGCATCTCGGGCCGCTTGCCTCATATCAGTCATAAAGGTTTGCCAGAATCGGCGGCGTCATGCTTTATCCCATTTCTGCACATTTTCAAGCTGCCTGTCAGATCATGATGCTCAAGTAAGTGAGTTCCCGGTTAACGGCCGCTCCCGAGCGCGTGCCCTTGGAGTGGCGGCCCTTCCAGGGCTGCATCGTACATCACAGCCTCTCCTTGCTTTTCTGTGGAATGAGGTCAGCTCCTGACCCGCACGAATTCGAGAATTCGACACACTCTTTTCCAGCATCAGGTGGGATGGCGCAAACAGATGCCACATGAACGGGCATGTCTTGGATTTGCAGCCCGTTGTTGGCCTTGGACAAAGCAACATCCAGTGGACAAGAGTCCGAGCAGCTTCGATATGATAAAATGACACGGGCTTAGTGTGCGGCAGTTGCGCACTTCCCAAGCCTGCATGCTCCGTGTGTCTCCTAGATGGAAACGATCTCTGCTCGCGTTGCCTTTTCATACGTACAGGGATGGTAGCGATATTACTAGGAAGTAGCCGGTAGTTCCAAGTATCTCATCGTGGTGGTAGTAGTGGCAGTACTAGTGGTTGTGGTGGCAGTGGTAGTAGTAGCAGTGGCGGTAGGAGCAGCAGCACCGGTGGCAAGCGGCAGCATAGCGGGTGGAGGAGAAGGAGGAGGAGGAGGAGTTGTACTTGTACTAGCAGCAGAAGCAGACCTACTATCTGCTCCGACGACTACTGCACCCGTTACAGCTATTGCTGCTTTGCTACTGGTATTTACAGCTACTACAGCTACCAGGACAACAACTAGTACGGCTACTGCTAGTGCTGCTACTACTACTACTACTGCTACTACTACTGCTACTGCTACTGCTACTGCTACTGCTACTGCTACTGCTACTGCTACTGCTACTGCTACTGCTACTACTGCTACTGCTACTGCTACTGCTACTGCTACTACTACTACTACTACTACTACTACTACTACTACTACTACTACTACTACTACTACTAGTACTACTACTACTACTACTACTACTACTACTACTACTACTACTACTACTACTACTACTACTACTACTACTACTACTAACTACTACTACTACTACTACTACTACTACTACTACTACTACTACTACTACTACTACTACTACTACTACTACTACTACTACTACTACTACTAGTACTACTGCTAACACTACTAACACGACTAAGACTACTAACACTACTAACTACCACTACTGCTACTTCTGCTACTTCTGCTACTGCCATTGCTGTCATTGCAACCACTATTCCTACCGCCGTCCTGTCTCTTTTTTGCTGCTGCTGCTGCTGGTAGGGTTTAAACTGGCCCCTAGGCTTTATGCGACTGTTTGTATTCTTACATTTCCTGCCGGCATCCGTGCGCTCCTGGGAAGCCATCACGCAGGCTGCCTTAGTATTCTGGAGCAAGGTGAACTAACCAACCATGTGCCAGTGTTTTGGCACAGATGATGCATAGGCCAGTGTCGGCAACGCGCTTGGGCAACTTAGCTCGAGCAGGTCGCTCCTCCCAGCTCAGTTGCCGCTGATCTGAAAACTGGTCCCAACATTGATGCAAGGAGTGTCTTGATAACGTAGAGTGAGACCAGCGGCCATCTGTGGAATGTCGAAACTCTCGCAAAATGGAACCTGCACAGTCTGCGAAGGGCATCTGCCCAAGGCAGGCCATGCTCTCGGACTGCAAGGACTCCCACAATTTTTCCCTTCATGCTGCATGCCGTAGAATTCCCGCTAGCTACTTATCTCAAGTCGCATTTTTGACGAGGATCCAAAGACAGATCCTGTATCCCTGCGGCATGGGCCGTCTGCCCATGCACGTCCCAAGCGCAAGATGCCTCGGGGGCCGCAGCGCGGGGCCGCAGAGCCGAAGCGACTTTGTACCTTCCGGTCGGCAGCTGTCAACCGCCTCTGTGGCCACAGCTGTCGCAAGGATCTCAGCACGGGGCCGGGCAAAACAGCCGCCCCTTGTGCGCAAGAGATGTTCCACAGGATGTTTAGATGGGCCCGTGGAAAGCTGCATTCCCTGCAGCCCCAAGCCCTTGGAATTACAAGGCTGCGAAGCCACAGCTGCCACATCCTTAGTTTTCGGAGCCGTCTGCGAATTCTTATTCCAGGAGCAGGATGTCGTACTGGCCGGATGCTCATTGCCAAATCGGCCTCCAAGGAAAGACATGCGATTGAGGCCCTTTGATGCCATCCACTGTGTATGTCAGAACAAACATAGGATATCGGGAATTTACATGGGGATCTGGGGCCCTTCACAACGGAACTAGTTTTCAGCGCATCTCCCGGCCCGTGCATGACATCTGACATGACGTCAAGCTCTTCCGGCACCTGAGCAAAGACATCGGTGACGGAGCGCCTTGGATCACAAAGCCGCAACTACGACTGCTGCTTGTTCTGCAGGCCTTTTAGGACGATGGCGCGGTTTACACTGCTTGTTTCTTTGGAAGTCCAAGATGACGCAAACGCAGCGGTCATCTTGTATTCGTCATGCAGTCATGTCGAGCCCTTGTAAATCTTGAATCTCCCTTCTGCTTTGCTTTGCGGATGTGCGGTTTACTTGCACCTTCCTACTTGCTCTTTGCGCCCCAACTTTCCCTCTGCACAACAACATCGAAGACAACTTGCATTTGTTGGGCTGGTTCCTTCCACAGTACAAAGCCGAGGTCTTTTCTTCTCCCGCTTCAAGATTAAGTTGCTAACTTATAGCTTCAACATGAACCGACGTCAATCTCGAAGTCCAAAAAAGTTGGACATCATCTCTCTAGTTCTCTGATGTAGCGCCAACGTTAGCGGCATTGAGAGATTCGTGAGTCGACGCAGAGATCACGCACGAGAATAGCTTGCATGCGGTGTGCAGTATACATGTGGCCGAACATGGTTTCCGCCTTTGAACGAGTACGACGGCCTCTCGAAACGCATGTCTGATACACAGCGGAGCCTTTCGGTTCAGAATGTTTACCAGAGCTCCAGTCTCGAGCCGAGTGCTGGGTTGGCCGAAGTCAGAAAGCATTGTTGCTTATCGCTTTAGCATGGTGCTTTCATGGGTAGAGTTGCAGCCATGGGGGTATGGCTCCCTGCACGAGCTTGCGGCTTGAAGGCCGGCCGTGCGCTCAGCGACAGGATTCTGCGAAAGGACCTGGGAGGAAGAGTTCTAGCTAGCGGAAGGTTGGACTAGCATGTCGCACCGCAAGGCTGTGTCATTTTGTTTATGTTTTGTGTGTGCTTGAGTGCAAACTTTGATGCCCGTGCCCTCTTCGAAGCAGTTGGCTGAAAGCCTGCGCTCGGAAGCGTCTGGCCGAGCATCGTGAGCTTTCGCCATGTGGCTTGCTTCGTCCGTGCTTCTGCGTGGTGGCCTCAAGACAGGAATCTTTCGACATGAGCTTAGATCCAGGGTTGCTTGGAGTCCTTCGCTATACATACCACTCCGAGTGGGGTTTGTGATCTTGTGGCAGCTGATGTGTCGTCAAATCTGCCACTTGCCTCTTGCCACTGCATCCCGAAGACAACTGGAGCTATTGCTGCTGGAATAAGACAAGCCTGACTGGTGAAGCAATGCTACTGTAATAATACAATAATCATAATACTACTATATTAATCATAATATTACTATAATAATCATACTACTACTACTACTAAACTACTACTACTACTACTACTACTACTACTACTACTACTACTACTACTACTACTACTACTACTACTACTACTACTACTACTACTACTACTACTACTACTACTACTACTACTACTACTATAATAATCATAATATTACTATAATAATCAGAATATTACTATAATAATCAGAATAATACTATAGTAACAGCAGCCCTGGAACTCAAGCAGCTAAAAGTGACCCCGAAACCCTCCGAGCACTCACCGCGGTCGCGGTGGAGCCTGGCATCGGCTATTTCGAGCCGTGGTTGGACCGGGCCCCAGTGGTTTAGGGTTTAGGGGCTCCTGCATGTCCAGGTGTAAAAAGGGGCTCCTGTTAGGTCTGCAGCCGGATAGCAATTAAAGAAGTGGACGGTGAGTCTATCTGTCTGTCCATCTAAAGCTATGGGTAGTTGTCAAGATTGGGATCTTTTTCGGGGCACCTTAAACATTAGGTGCCGTATAAGGGCCCGAAAAGGAACCATGATTTTGAAAACCACCCATATATATATATATATATATATATATATATACATATATAGTCTATACATACTCGCACAAACAGAGAGATTTGTAGATTGGTCTCGGGAGAAGTGGAGGAGAGAGAGGTAGAGCGGCGGCACGCCAGGGGGACCGGCATGCCAAGCTAGGGGGTGCGAAGCGTGTTAATGCTAGTATGCTGAAGCGGCCGGGACCTCAGAGTGTTGCATAGCCAGCGGTGCGTGAGTTTTTCGTGCAGAGGGCAACAGGCCTTCGGGAGCAAACATGCTCAGAACGGGGGGTCACACGCCTACCGAAGCACGCACTGCTGCTGATGTGCTGGGGGCCCAGATAATAGTTGTGGGTCCCTTTTTCAGCACGGTGCTTTGATGAGGCCGGGAGGGTATTAAGTAGTGTTCAGGGTTAGGGTGGGGGATCAACAGTCCAAACCGGAGCCTCAGTCAAAGCCCTTGGAGTGTCACCCAAGACTTCAAGACCGGTGCGCGCACGCGCGCGAGGGCCCAGGCCCTTTGTCCGAGCGCAAGCAAGGCAGCACGGCACGTCAAATGTGCCATGTGCTAGGGAAGAAGGAGAAGGAGAGAAGCAGGGAGGGTGCCTGTGGATGGCGAAATGCCCGTGAATATATAGATATATGTGTATATACATACATATACATATGTATATACAAATATACATACACACACACATATATATATATATATATATATATAGCGCTACTGCAGGAACAGCTTTGGTCCTCGGGGCGGCGCCTGAACACTAAGGCAGGGCAAAAGCCACACACTTCGGTCTAAGATTCGTGAGCCAGGGACAAAGGAGGGCAAACTTGTGCGGATGCTTTTCCAGGCTTCGGTCTGGCTATGTCTGGCCCAGTGGGGATTCCGGTTCAGGAGGGCGGGCTGCCATGGGGTCAACTCCGTCGGCGGGCTGCACTTTACAAGCCTTGACGCTCTTGGGGCTCCATTAGGTCCTTGGGTGGAATTACCTCAACCTGGCGCAATCGAAAGCAAACGACTTTCACCAGCTTTCCCACGGCGAGACTGCAAACACAAACCCTCATCGCTGAAGCCCCTTGCCGCTCTTTGCACGAAGGCCCTGGATCTCCGTGTGTCCAAGGCATCGGTGACTGGTGGGATCAAGATGAGTGCATGCCATGTTCTGCTGATCAAGGGTGGGCAGACAAGTTTTGACGCATCGTCTCAGTCGACGGCAGACCCTGTCTGACCAGGGACTTGGACTCAAGGGCTACAACAAGGTACGCGTGTCTGCGCCGGAGACTGCAACTGGCGAATCGAGCAGTGTGTAGGAGTGACTGAGGCAACCTCGCCGAGCGAAAGAGACGTTCAATCGAGAGGAGTCAAGTTGTTGCAGAGTACGTGCCCAGATCCGCCAGTGAGGTGATCGCCCCAGAGCTGCGCTCCTTCGAAGACTTCAACTTCACTTACCGGGAGCAAACAAGCTGCAGCAATGTGGGTTCTTCGGTTTTGGGGGCAAGCCACCCTGCGGTGGTGTTGGATGCAAGGTTGGTCTGGATTGCGCATCGGGCTTTGAGATTGCGCAGCTTTGACTCTGGCTCCCCGACACCCTGCGAACAGCATTTCGGAGTTTTTGGAGTGAAACAGCAATACACTGGGAATGCTTTCCGCTTGGCCAGGCAGTTCAGATACCGATGGACGGAGCACTTTTTGCACAGTGTGGCTCGGCCCAAGCTTAGCCCCGAATCCTTCACATGCTCGGCGACGGTTGAAAAGCCCGAGGTCCTCCCGAATGTAGACTGTACACTACTCCAAGCAGTAGGATCCTATCGCTGTAAACCTGAAAACCTTGAAAAATCCCAAGTGTTGTCGGACACTCCCAGCTGCGAGGTGGTCAGGTTAGGAGTTAGGAGCCTTCACCCCGGTGCCGTCGCGGCTCAAAGAGCAGACTTGGGCTTTCAGCTCCTCAAGTTGACACGGAGGGTAGGGTATTATAGGATTTTGGGGCTTTGGGTTTGGGGTTGTTGAGACGACTTGTGGTTTGGACTCTGTGGTAGAAGAGTAGGATTAGGAGCTTGTTGATGTAGCAACGAAGCCTTTAAGCTTTCAACAGAGTGGCACCTCGACTTTACGATGACTTTAGACCTTGCCTGGAAGAAGACTTTGCTGCCCTGTCCAGCCATGTTTATGGACAGTGAGTCGGATGACTCGCCGGAGATGGATGAAGCTCATAGGCGCTGGGAGCCAAGCGATAAGTTGCCTTTCCCGGTTCTGGTCCGAACAGATTGTCTGCATGAAACCGCAAAGCATGGACCTCAGCCCCACAAGCTGAAACTGTCATAGTTGCACCTTCTTTAGAGGCACCAGCCAAAGCTGAGACGTTTGTGATGCTGCAGTCCTGTGTTCACTACAACCACACTGGGAGCAGCCGCCTTGTTCTGTTCGAGTCCCAAGTAGACATACAACAAGAGCATTAGGTCAACGCGGAGCCAGGGTCAGTTCAAACTTTACTAGCAGGGTGTCGTTCCAAAAGCAAAAGCAAGGTAACCGAGGTACAGCAAAGCAAAAGCCTGGGTGAGTCTTCAAGGCATTGATGAACCGGACGGGATCCTTGTTGTGCTTCAGCGGGCAGGTTGAAGGCAACCCATATGCCACTCTTCGTGGCCCTTTGCGTTGAAGCGCTCTTCTGCTTCTTGATGACTCGTTTCATCATCGAGGCAGGTTTCATGGTGCAGACAATCGTGCAGAGAGATGGGTGAAGATTCCGTAACCGGCCCAGGGAAACAGGGTCAGGGAAACAGGGAAACAGGAGTGCGATGTCATAGTCGTAGTCCTTACGTGCATGCAGTCAGCGACGCATCCAGTATGCTGAAGCGCAGAACCCCTTTGAGCGGCATTGCACGCAGGACGACCAGCATACATCTCCGATGGAAAGCTTCTTCATCGCACCGGACGAGGACTTTCGGGGATCGCGCGATTCGTCCTTCTGCTTTGAGTTTGTCCACTTGCAAGAATACATCTGTGAAGCGAATCGACGCTCCCGTGACTTTTCGCGCCGCAGACGTCACAAAACTAGCCTTTGCCAGCTCCAACACGAAGTCCCGCTCAGCAAACGTCCTCCGCGCAGCGTCCGCAATGAAACATCAAAGATGGCCCGGCTCTGTCCTGGGGAGGGAACAGAATGACCCTGTGTATGGGATTCAGAGTGTGAGCGCCACAAAAATGGACACAGAAACCACCCACGATCCAGCTTACAGCTTTAGCTGAGGACTTCCTGATGCTGATCTGGCTTGTGTTTTTCGTGGCCGCTGCTGGGTGGCTTGGCAACACATGATCCCTCAAACTGCAGATGTTTCCCTGCAGCACTGAGTGCGATTGTGTCGCCAGATGGTGACTGCAAGATTCACACCGAGGCGACTGCTCTGCCTTGCTTGGTCGCACGTCGAAATCCTCAGACGCCGCAGAGGGCGCGACGAGCATGCGCAGTTCACACGTAAAGCATCCTGTTCAGTGGTCTCTGCACGGCGACCCGATACTTACCCTCTTAGCTCGACGCATGCGCTTCTTGGTGTGTAACTCTCTCGCCGTGTTTTTCCCCCTTCTCCATTCGTGCGTGTATGTCAACACAAGTGCATGTGTCGTAGACGACAATGCGCGAGCTTTCCAGGTCTGTTCGAGTTCTCTATACAAATCTAGACGCCTTACAGGTTCCTATGGTTTGAGGCTTTGCAGTCCTCCTGTCCTGGTCGTTGCTACTGCAAGAATCGAGAATGCAGTGTCTATCTGGGAGGGTTGGTTTGGGCGACTGGCATGCTTCTTCTGCCGGCGTGGAACTGAAGGTTGTTTTTGATCTTTAACCTTCTGGTCTAGCAAGACAGGCGGCTCGCTGCTGTGCTGTTCATGATCTTTGGCACAGTGCACTGGTCGATACTTCTGTCACTTGGCTGGCTTGGCTCTTGTACGGTCTGGGCTATTTGCCGTGGCCTTTGCTTGCTATTTGTGTATCGCTGCCTCATGAAATTCCATGCAGCAAGCTAGACCGGATTGTCAGGACAGCCTACTACATCGAGTACGATGCAGCCAGTCCTGTGGAAAAATCGCACAAGGCAGGGGAGACGAACCTCGACCTAGCACCCGGTCAGCTGGTAGCTTTCCGTGCTGATCTGCTTCATGGCGCGATCTCCGGGTAAGACGCGACTGCAATGCTACAGTACAGCCTTAGTACAGCAGGAGTCGTTGTGGCTGTCGCCCTGCTCTCGTCATGGAGTTGGTCATAGCGGGCGAGTTGCGTTTCGAGTAGTTGTCCTCCCTTGTGTTGCTGTTTCTACTGCTGCAGTTATTGCGCGACTTTTTCCGAGCTTGTGAAGGTGAACTTGAAGATTGACGCGGTGCCGGTTTACGTCACCCGCGAGCATGGCCCGGCTTTCACCGAGTGCTTGAGCCTCGGCACGGCAGATGCAGCTTGTGGGATGTGGCACAGTTTTGGCTTCCAGTTTCAAGGCAAAAAGCTTTCGTAGGTTCGTGCAGCCCTGGGTGCTGCCATTGCTTGAGGCTTGACCCATGGGCACGTGTCCAGCCTGTTCCTTTTGAGAGCTTTCCGCACTAAAACTCTACTGGTAGTAACCAGGTTTCTGTCAGCACACCCCTCGCCCAAGGATAAGAAATGAATGGAGGTATGAGGCCTGCGACCTGAAATTGGATACGGTATGCGAATTGCCGTTCTATGCCAACGAAAGCTATATGCTCGGGCGTTGTGTTTCGCATGTGTTCGTCGGAAGCACCCCGTGCTGCATCACGGAGACCATCACGATGGGCCGACCACGAATGACTTTCTTTGGCCAAAGCTGCCAAGCCAACCTTGTTTTTACAACTCTGAAGTGGGCGGTGGTCTTGTTGATTGGCTGGGTCCTTCGGCATGGCTACCTGGTGTCTGGCCTGGGGACGAAATCTTTCAGCAAAGGATCCTGGCTCGATATTCTGGATGCCATACTCTTCAGCGAAAACCTGTCCAGCGATTGCATTCGCCACTTTGTCGCATCTAGCAGTCGGCAGGCTGAAAGGTGCTGACAGGAAGTCTGCTCCGAAGCTTAACTGCCGAAACTGGGACTACAGCAACGACACAGGCTAAGTACGTGTGACAATGCAAGAAAGGATGTAACCGATGCAACCTATGTCATGTAACGCAGTGCAGCGTTAGCAGAGTGTAACCTTATACAGTGTAAGTTTGTGTAACGTAGTGCAATGTGTTGCAGTGTCGTGAAATGGCGTGTGCGCTGTCTTGTACTGTCGTGTGCTGTTGTGTCGCATAGTGCTGTGCCTTGTACTGTAATGGCATGGCATGGGATTGCATGGTATGGTAGGACGTGGTCCTGGTATGGTATGCACATGTCACATGTATGCACCTGTGTATACACATGTACGCATTTATGCGCGCACGCGCGGGGGTTTGCAGAGTTAGATGTTCGTTCTAATTTTAAGTGTTGCTTTCTTGGTGTTGTCGCCTTTGCATTCGGCACTGCCGAGGTTTTCCGGCTTATGGCTTTTCGACGAGTGGGCAGCCGCAATGGCCGGACTATCGGCCTCTTTTGGCGCTGCTTCCTGGTTTAAGGCTCAGGGTTCAGAGATGAGGGCAATAGTTTTGAATCGAGATGAAGGCATCAAGGAGTCCTAGTTGCAAAAGGGTTTTGATTGTCAATGCGCTGGGGCTGACTCCCGAATGAGTGAAAACAACACATGTCCATCGAATTGGGTAATGAGGTGTCCCAGGAACGACGACGACAACAAGTAGTGCATTTTGTGTGTGGCGGCAAACATGCAGGCATTTATCAGGAAAGTTGTGGAAGCAGACGCGAAACACATCAAAGCGCAGAAAGCCTGCAGCACCTTGCGGTCACACTGTGGCCATGAGGCTTATTGTACACGCCATAAGCATCGCATGGAGAGATTCAGAGAGAATAAACGACTCGAGGTCTCATTCTGTCTAAGACAGGTTAGGAGCTCAAAAGCGCTTGAACCGCGAGCTTAACAACCTCGCAAGGCAGCTGGAAGCCTAGCTTGGCAGGATGGTAATTCCGCGGCGCGTGAGCATGTGAAGCCGTAGCCATGGACCTTTAGCCCGAGATTGAGAGAGCTGCTTCAACCCTGAGCTCGGTTCGAAGTGCTACGCCTGAGGTACCTGACCTGGGTAGTGGCTTTCTTGCTCGTGATGTTCTCGCAGATTCTGTATGCGGCGGTGGCGCCCTACAGCGGAGAACAGGCAGGAGCTTCCGGAACAAGTCTTCCGTACACTGACAGGCCTTGTGATTACCAGCCACTACTGCCTGACCAGTCAAAGTACTTCGAACCCGAGACCTCGTTTGGCAAGTCCGAATTGCGAGAGCGTAACTTAGCTTTTCTCGCCGGCTCGATCGGAGCCCTTCGGGCTTTCTGCACGCATGGAGAGTGGGTCGGGTGAAAGCATGGAGTATTGCTGTCACGAGTGCTGGCTTTTCGTGGGGTATCTTTTTCAGGCCGCAGAAGCGGCATCGCCATCACCGGCAGCTCCTCTGATGTGCCTTGGAAGCTATGATTCTTCCGAGCTCGCCTCAGGCGCCATCTCGACCTCCCTAGCAGCTGGCCCGCGCACCCAAGCCATGCCTGGAGTTAAGCGTAGACATGTCCTGCGGTCAACATAGGCAGTTGAGATTGTTGAGAGGGGACCATAAACCCTAAACCCGGTA